GAGAGTCTGGGGTCTGTGCCACTTCTGATATACTCACTCACTCACTCACTCATTCATTCAATACACTTTCATTGAGTCCCAGGCACTGTGCTGAGTGCTGGGAGGACACAAGCCCTGTTCCCAGGAAGAGTCTAGTTTTCTTCATGGATACATACAAAATGAATCATTTGGAAAGGGCTATGAAGAAAATCAGACACAGGAAAGGATTGGAGTTGTTACTACTCTACACAGAGCCATGAGGTGGGCCTCTCTGAGGAGGGTCCCCTTGAGCTGGTTAAGACCTGAATGAGAAGAAGCCTGTCGATCGCTGGGGACAGCAGCTGGAATGGGTTAAGGAGTGGATCTGGGGAGAGCTAAAGAAGATGGTGGGATGAGGGAGGGGCTGCCGGACCACAGTAAGTTCACATTTTAGTCTCAGGTTGTTGGAGCCCTAGAGACAATCTAGTCCAACCTCCTTCCCTCCTTTTTTTAAAAAAGGATGGGACCTTGCTATGCTGCCCTCACTATGTGGCATGATCACAGCTCACTGCAGCCTCCAGTTTCTGGGCTCAAACGAGCCTCCTGCCTCAGCCTTCTGAGTACCTGGGACTACAGGTGCACACCGCCATGCCCAGCTAATTTTTTAATTTTAATTTTAATTTTTTTTTTTAATGGAGTCTCGTTCTGTTGCCCAGGCTGGAGTGCAGTGGTGCGATCTCGGCTCACTGCAACCTCTGCCTCACTGGTTCAAGCTATTCTCCTGCCTCAGCTTCCTGAGTAGCTGAGATTATAGGTATGCACCACCACGCCTGGCTAATTTTTGTGTTTTTAGTAGAGACGGGGTTTCACCATGTTAGCCAGGCTGATCTCAAACTCCTGACCTCAGGTGATCCGCCCGCCTCGGCCTCCCAAAGTGCTGGGATTACAGGCGTGAGCCACCCTGCCTGGCCTAAATCATTTATAGAGATGGGGTCTTACTATTTTGTCCAGGCTGGTCTCAAACTCCTGGTCTAAAGCTATCCTCCCACCTCAGCCTTCCAAAGTGTTAGGATGACAAGCATGAGCCACCATGCCTGGTGCAAGCCCCCATTTCATAGATGGGGAAACCTTCCTCAGAGAAAGCGGGAAGCTGTCAGGGTGACTAGTGGTTGGTACTGAGCCTGGCCTCCCGCAGGACTCCCAGGCCAGGATGCCAACTCTCGCTGCCTTTTCTTTGTCTGTCATACGCATCTCTGGTTCCATCTGACCAGACTGTCGGTTCCCCTGGCCCCTGCTGTGCGCCCCAAGGCCATCCTCCTGTCTGTCAGCCTGGTCTCCCCTGCTGTCTGACTGTATCTTTGGTCCAGTCATCTCTCTGCTGCTGCTGTTCTGATGATAGATGAGGTTTCAAGGCTCTGGCAAACAAGCCTGTCCATGAGGAGCAAGGGGAGATCTCAGCTACTTCCCAAAGCCCCCCACCAGCCCAGCGAACCTAGAGCCTTGGGGCTGGATGCCAGCATCTCTTCAGGTCCTGCTCCTGGCTGCCCTTCCACTGGTCACAAGGACTCCACCATCAATCAGGTCAGGCTGCCCCTCCTCAGCAACTCTCCCCCAGAATATCCTTCTCCTACATCTGGCCTCCCCAGACGCCTGCTTCCTCCTCATACATCCTCCTGCCTGTGAAATCCAGCCTGACCTGTGAAAAGGGCACTGGACAGCAGCAACAGCTGCTGCCTCTGCCTTCTTACAGATTCCTAAAGTCTAACCTCAATCCCTCCTGCTACAGAAAAAGTGCATTTCTCCTGGCTCCATCTCTGTCAAAGCCAAGAAGACAGGGTGGCCTCTAAGTAGAAAAGTGATTCAAGTCTCTGCCGGCCCCACTCTTCCTGGTCTCCTCATCTGTCTACTACCCCAACTCTACTCTGAAGGGGCAGCCTTCAGCCAGGCCCGGATCTGGCTACTATCTCCCAGCCCATCCTTGTTACCTCCCAATTCCCCCTTCCCCGGCCCTCTCCATGGTCCACCCTACCCAGCCAAAGGTTCAGAGCCTCCCCTCATAAACTCCGTGACACCCAGAGTTCAGAAGATCACACCAGGTTGGGGATTGAAAGGAGTCCAGAAATTATTCATCACATATCCAACTCTGTCCTGTTTACCTTGATTTTTTAAAAGTATCTGTTACCCATAAAGATCCTAACAAATATGAAAAGGAAAGGCAATTACAAAAGATCCTTCATTATTCCACACACAAGAGTCAAAGATTTTGCCAACAGCCTCACTTTATAAATGCAAAAATAGGTCCAGAGAGGGAAAGTAACTTGCCTAAAGTCACACAGCAAGTGAGATGGCAGGACTAGAAGCCACGTCTCTGGTCACCCTCTGTGTGGTCTCCCTGAAAACTGGTGGTTCTTACCAGCAGTCTCTCAACACATCAGCTCCACTGCCCTCTGCCCACACCTCCCACTGTCAGTCTCCTTCCCTTCCCACCCCCACATACTGTTCTTCTCAACAGGGACCCAAGTCTGTCTCACCTACATACTGGGACCATTAAAGTGAAGAACATTGCCACTGCCACTGTGCCTGGTGCCAGCACACCCCTGAGACACAGCAGGTCAACCACAGCACTCACCTCAACAGCCCTCCCTCACCCCACCTGATGGGCACCCATGCCAATGATGCACAGGTCTCTGTCTTCTTAATCATCTCTGTTGAGGGGCCAGGCTGCAAATTACCCATCTCCCCAACCTCAGAGAAAGTCTAGGTGCATAGGAGAGAAGGGAGACTATGAAAATGAGTCTTCCTTTTATACCATGAGGGATTCCAGGTAGATCTCAGAAAGGACTTCCAGGTAGGAGAGATGAGTTTGGAGAACTGGTAGGGGGAAGGGAGTGTGCAGAATGGGACGCCTCCCTCCACCCCCTACCCCAGTGCCCCATCTAGAGCCAGAGTAGCTGAAAGCCAAAGGCTGCCAGGGCAAATGGGAGCAGGTGTGAGGAGGGGGACCCTTGAGGCTGGGTGTGCAGGAGCAGCAAGTTGCTTCTTCCTGGGCCCACTGCCTCTCTACTGACACCAAATAGGTAAGAGAAGGTGACCGAAGGGCTGCTGCCTTCCCAGGGAGAGACGCTGTGTCTCCACCATTCCCCTGGCTGCTCCCACCTATCCCTAGCCTGGGTCAGCTTTGGGGACTGGGGTGTGGCAGAGAAGAGGAAAAGAAGGCATGGCTGGGGCAGGGGCCTCCCAGGCTCCCGTCTCATCAGAATTCAGCCTTGCCTGGGGTCATCAGGGGTCCTGATGACTCTCCAGCTGTCCCCTTTAAGAGCCCATCGCCACACAGAGCCCCCTCTCCTACGGTCCCTGTGTAGGAGAGGTCCGGGCATCGGTGTCTCCACCGTCACTCACACAGCCTATGTGTTTGGGAAAGTGGGGTCCCTATCCACCTGCCCACAGCCCACAGCGCTCCTGGTCTCCTGCGGACAATGCTCCCCTCGCGGACATCGCCAGGCAGTCCACACCTGCCCTTGCCCTCACCTGCCTGCCCGCC